CAAAAAGTTCATGGAATTAAAAGATGGGACATTTTTGAAGTCCCCATGCATGTGCAGATTCTTAAATGTGTTGTCTTTGTTAATTTCTCTGTCTCTGGCTTAGCCCTAAGAACATATTTTTTTACCAGTGAAGCACCCATATATAAATGCAAGGCTGGAAAACCAGGAAAATAATGTGTGGAAGAGGTTGCATCATTGGCAGAAACATACCCCATGTGCTATCTATATAGAAAGTTAAAACTTCTTGCTTGCTTATCTTAATTGTCTCTTCTCCCCGTGATTCCTCGAGGTGACTTTGTCGTCGGTCTCTTTCATCTTCTCCCTGCAGCACGCACGCGCTAGAGACGGTGTCTGTGTTTTCGGAATAGAGCCTGAGTTGTATTGCACCAGTCTTTCCAGAAATGTACTCATTTTTTATGGCTTCTAAGATAATCTCATTATGTGCAAAAAGCCCCTCTTTGTCTCAGTCTGTACTTAGGACGGTGTTTTATCATTTCACGGTATGGGGATATTTTTAAGCTGTTATTAATTTAACATTATTGCATTGCAACATTCATGTAGTGCAGTTTTCAGTGTTTATGAAATGTGCTTTTCGTGGACTGACCTTTTTCTAAATTAAGACAAGCCTACTAGACCTTACATTTTCAAATGCATGCTATCTTTCAAAATATGCACATCCTAACCATGTCCCAAGTACTCAAAAATGTCTTAATCTCTTTTAATAGATCTGTGAGTCTATGTTACACAAAAATCAAAACAAAAAACTGCTTGCTTGGTAGTTATGTATCCCAGATTGAGGAAAGCCTGTGCCGATTCAGCTGGCCCCATGTGCTCCTCATCTTTATCAAGTGTCAAGTGGGCGTTTTCCAAAAGCAAATCTGGTGACGTCAGGGCTGCAAACGGAGGTGCAAACGACAAGCTCAGCAGTTCAAACCCACGGGAGAAAGATGAGGCTGTCTACTCGTGAACATATCAAGTCATCGAAACCCAAAGGGGCAGTTCTGCTCTGCCCTCTGGGGTCACTAAGGACCAGAACCGACTCCATGCCAGTTTTTGTGATGTTTTTACATCCAAGAGCTAAAAACTCCCTCTATCCAAGCTGTTATTAAAAAAAAAAAAAAAAAAAAGATGTCTGACCTGACAAAGAGGAAACAAGCCCCCAGTTTTGAACAAGCATCTTGATGTCTTCCCCCTTGTACACGCAACCAGGCGGGTGATGATTCCAGCACGGGGGACAGCATGATCAGGCCCGTTCTTGTGACCTTCGGTAGGACCTCACCTCCTAGGGTTTGTGTGTGTGTGCTCCCACAAAGTGGCCCTGTGGGAGGGACTGTGAGCAGCCTCAGAAGCATGGAACGCACCCGATTCCTGACCCCAGCACTCCCTGGATGTGCTCTGCCTGGCCACTCGCCATTTTCTTGTCCTTGATTTCTAAAAAAAAAAAAAAAGACGCTATCATTTGGTGGTGGAAGGGGGGGAGAGGGGTGACCATCTATCTTATAGACAAATGTAAATAAATATGGAAGGCATGTGACCTCTCAGGGAGCACGAAGGCATAGATGCAGGCAGTTCTTATCACTATGATATGAAAGGGCTGTATCCCCCAAGTTGAATGCTTCACTTTCATGGGCAACTCTCTTCAAGGCGGTATGTGACCTCCACGTTGGTCTCTTGTAGTCGTCCTGTTCCTCCCAGGAGAAGTTGCACCAGTTACCATACCAACCAACGCCGGACGAATTACACTTCTTATCGAAACATTTTTGTACCACCGAAAGCATCGCCACGGAGAACAGATGCAGGAACACACCGCTGCGCCCCCGCTCCCGGAGTCTGAGGTAGGTCACCTGGCCAGGAACCGTACCTAGCTGGCTTGTCTGTTTTCACAGATGGGTGAGGGGATCATTCGTGCCCCTTTAATTCCAAAAAGTTCATGGAAAATCCTTTGGTTCCTTAATTCCATTTTCCCACAAATCCTTGGAAGCCCTTTTATGAAGGGGGAGAAAATGAAGCAGTCCGTTTCTGTAAAGATTACAGCCTTGGAAACCCAGTGGGGCAGGTACCTTTCATCCTTCCTGGGTCACGTGGGTCCGAATGGTCTCAAACACAACCAGTATTCCATGTATGTGTTCTCCGTTGCTTGTGAACAACTATAAAGAATTTTTTTCATTTACATGTTGTGAACTCTAATATACAAGCATCTCTTCTCTCTGTCTCTAGTTCTCCCTGTCTCTCTCTCTCTCTCTCTCTCTCTTTCTTTTTAAACCCTCACAGTTTGCTAATTACCACAGTTGAAGCATTCATGCTGGCCTTAGGGGGCCACCTATAAAAATTCTAGCCATTGGAAATTTCAAGGCAATCTAATTACGGCGTCAGAGTAGTTAATATGTATGTTACGATATAGCAGCTTGGTTTGAAAAGAAAGGACAGAAACAATAGGTGTATTTTTTTCTAACCTCTCTGTTCCACAGTATAAAAAGTCATTCTGATCTTTTATTCTTTCTTTTAATCACGAGAAGGTGCTTTCTCCAGACCGGTGAGCCGGTGTTTAGAAGTGTATACTCCCTGACTGGTGTGTGTGCCAGATGTGCCATCTGTTTGACATTGACAAGGGCTAGTTTTGCTGTGATCTTGTTTCAGATAATAATAATAATAATATGTGTGAGAGTTTGGTGCCTTAGGAGGTAAGACTCTGAGGAGAGAGGTACAGGGTGTTTATTAGGGGCTCCTTTAGGGAGTAGGGCAGCCACGGAAGGAGCAAAGGAAGCTAGCCTGGGCAGAGAAAGCAGCTGAGCTGCATCAGAGACTCAGCCGTCTTAGCTGACCCCATAGGGGGCCAGTCTCAGGAGCCTGGGACGCAGCAGAATTGTCTTTGCTGCGCCGAGGTGGCCTGGCCTTGACATCCCCACCTCTGTCATGGTGCCTGTCACTGAGTGCGTGTGCACTCGGGAGGACCTGACTAGACAGTGGTCTGCCCTGGAAGGGACTGAGGCTGAGAGCTGAGCTGCAGACTCTTCTTGAAGAGGGATTAGCGCAGTGCATCTCCTGGTCCACCACAGTCTGGATCTTGCTGCTGTAGAACTGGGACAGTTGCTCCATGAAGGGTCCAGGTGCTAGGCGTTCAGTTGATTATCAGTTAACGGAAGAAGGGTATTTTGGATTTGTCCTGGCTTGTATCAGGCTCTGACACTCAACCCAGACACGCTGGATAATGGGGAGATGCCATCGATTCTTTTGAGATACAGAAAGAAAGGTCAACTGAACGGCTTCGTGTTGAGGTACTCGAGGTAGTTTGGCGTTAGTGAGGTGAGTTCCTGGCACACCTGCCAGCAGCCACATCCTCCCAAGAACATATCTAGAACACGCACACTGAAGTTGCATGACCACCTCCAGGCACAGACACCACGAACCTACAATGGAAATAAAGGAGGGGAACTCAGCCCCATAAAGGTTGCACGCTTCTGTTTCATGTTATCCATAATGCCTACCTCAGCATCCCAAAGAAATCGAGACTAGAAAATGGATTTCAATAATGACATGTGTGCCTTGGAAGATGCTTAAGGCACCTCTGTGGTAGGTGGCAGAGCGCAGGTGTACCAGGAAAGTGTGAAATTACACTGTTCAACGTGCCCAAGATGCTGCTGTCGGCATTCACGTTTGTAGCTACCTATTTTGCGCTGTGGTTTCTGGAACTGCGCACACTCATACCAAATGCAGAATATGACCTCATACCAAATGCAGAATAAAACCTCTGTTGACGAACATCTTCTGCACCCGCTTTCTGTTGCATCTGTAATTACTTTGTGGGACCCCACATCCTCAACTGCTCTCTCTGAATCCTGTCCCTGGTGTCTCTGGGTTTGTGGGTAAGCGTGTGTGTCTGTGAATGGCTGGTTGTGTAGTTTATTACCCAATCTGCTCTTTCTCAGGCAGGTCGCCTAGTACTTTAGATGCAACCGATTGTTGATAAATAAAAAGCTTCTTTTCCTTCCATGCTGCGACAAGTTTAAAGGGGGAATGTGCTTTGCTCTGCAGCCCTGGACGTTCTCCCGCCTGTTGTGACCATGAAATCATCATGATGAACCATGTCTACAAAGAGAGGTTCCCAAAGGTAATGAATTGAATTTCAGATGCCTCCCGTCGGAAGGAAGCGCCGCAGAGGGTTGGCGTGTGGGAGGTGGCTCCGTGAGGGGAAGTAACGGTCCGCTGTAGTCGTAATGAGCATCAAACAGCCCTGAAGCCTGATTTGGAAGATGAAGCCAGGGCCGTTTTTTAAGCTGAACCCTGCAGAGAACTGGCCATTCTCGGTGCGCGGGGCCAGCTCTCAGGTGAACGCCGCTGGTTGGGGGCCGCGCTCGGACTGGCCTCATGAGGTCCTGTGTACAGGATCTGCTTTGAGAGATCCCTGGGCCAGGCGTATGCCCACCACCTCCTCTGGGCCTGCTGCTGCTGCATTAAGCAGAGGCCCCTTTTCTCCCAGAGAAGCCCGTGCTTGGTGTGCCATGAAAGTTTTTTTGTGTTTTTTTTCTTTTACCTCACTTTCCTTTTTTTGTCAACGTCCCATTAGGATTCTGATCCGATGCTTCCTTACCCATCCATCCAGTGAAGGTCTGGTTGCCGGTTTCCTCAGTTAGACGGTTAAAAGAACATTGAATGGAGCCAGAGAGGAATTTATGAAAGGGTTATGCCACGCGCCCACCCCACCCTCCCAAGAAGCTGCTGCCAGTCGGTCCTCACTGCCTGCCGCCCAGCCCACCCGCTTGCTCCTGGAAGTGTCTGCCCCATCATAGTGTCTCCACCCATTTGGGGGAAGGCATTCCCTCCGTGCTGGTCCTCGAGCCCCACCCCCACCCACTCCCCTTTGTGCCCCAGGCAAGAGAACCAAAGGAACTCTTTGGTTTCATAAATCAGGAGTGGAGCACTTATTATTTTTAATGAGCCCAGCATTGATGTCATTGATTAAAGCTGTGTTAGCTATTTGTCACTTGTCCCTTGTTCACCAGGGACACAGATGCCAAGTAGAGCTAGTTACTGCTAGTTAGGATCTGGGGGGCAGGCAGATGTGTAAGTCATTGAAGCCCCGAGGAATGATCAGGCAACAGGGAATGACTGCGCACGGACTGAAAGAAGAAAAGGAAGTGTCAGGTTTATGGTACTGGAAAAGCTGCCTGACTTGTCCGCATCATAGAGCTTCCTTCCCCTCGAGCCGTCTTGTTGATTTCGTTTCCGCTTTGCTGTGGGGCGACGCTGTCACCAAAGGCTTTCCCTGGTCATCATTTGCAAGGGTCCACTTCCCTGGCGCTCAGTACATTCACTGTGTTGCACCCACGGCACTAGCCTTTCCCAGCGTGTTTCAGCTCCCGAACAACTCTCCCCCTGCTCTGGATGCGGTCCCTTCCAGAGCCTCTTCTCCCCCGATGGTGACACGGACAAGCCCCATCTCTGCATTTGTCTGTGCGGGGAATTTCACACATGGGGGTCATGCACTGTGGCTTATTCTGCATCTGATTTAATTTCCACTGTTCTCGATGTGTCATCTATGATACAGCAGAGTAATATTCTGTGTGTGTGTCTATGCACATATATGTATGTGTGTATGTATGTATGTGTACACAGGAGTCCTGGTGGCGTAGTGGTTAGGAGTTGGGCTACCGACAACAGGTCAGCAGTTGGACCCCATCAGCCACTTTGCCAGAAAAAGACTTGGCTTTCTGCTCCCATAAAGAGCAGTGTTGAGAACCCACAGGGGCAGTTCTACTCTGTCCTGTGGGGTCGCTCTGAGCCAGAATTGACTCCATGGGCAAGGAGCTTGGTTTTAGATATGTCTGTGTTTATATATGTATAAGGAGCCCTGGTGGCTCAGTGGGTAAGCACTTGGTTGCTAACCCAATAGTTAGCAGTTTGAACTCACCATCTATGATGCTGGAGAGAGATGGGCAGTCCAGGCACAGCCTTGGAAATCCCATGGGACAGGTCTACTTTGCCCTATAGTATTGCTGCTAGTCACAATCGATTGAGCTGCAGTGGGTTTGGTGTACACACACACACACACACACAACACACACACGTCGTGCTCCAAACATTGCTGTTAGGGTTCAAATTCATACATGCATGGGCTTATTCTAAATACAAGGTGTTTAAACCTGCCATTATGATCAGTGGATAGCTGCAGATAAGTTCTTCCGGTAGTACACTTGTCTCTTGGTCTCACGAAGGTGCCTTCAAAAGAAGATTCTATCCCAACAGTGCCTTCCAAGGGGATCTGCTGGGCCATTTCAACTCTCAGCAGAGGAGTCAGCTCAAAGGGTTATGCCAACTGCTTTTTGAGATTCCAAAGGGGTAATCGTGATCGATTTGTCTCAAAGGACACAGGAAGATCATGGGGGCTTGTTGTGAAGCTGTAAGAACATGGAAAACCGTAATGGTGAGAAAAAAAAGCCCTGGAATGTTGTGCCGAGAATTTTTTCCTATCACATTGACACACTCGTTCATCCTTCAGGAGTAGCTAGGGGGTCTGAGGAAATGTTACCCCACCCCACCCACCCCACGGCACTGATCTGGGCCCAGCAGTCTTTGTGTTCCCCAAATTTAAAGAACCTTAGAAAGGAACATGAATCGAGTCAAATTCCTCAAGGTGCCCCAACTGCCGCTTTCACGTGCTACAAATGGAGAGTCCAGACTTCTTCAGGGGAAGGTGGCTGTTGCCATTGTTAGGTGGCATCTCATAGAGACCCTTTGTACAATAGAAGGCAACCATGCTGGTCCTGTGGCCCCTGCACACTGGTCCTTCGGCTGGAGCCCATTGTTGCAGCCACTGGGGCACTCTGTGGTTGAGGACCTTCCTCCTCCGCTCGGCGTACGGAGGGTTACAGAGATGGAAAAGCCACCTGCAGACGTCTAGGCCTAAGGCAGTGGTTCTCAACCTTCCCAATGCCGCAACCCGCTAATACAGTTCCTCGTGTTGTGGTGACCCCCCAATCATAAAATTCTTTTTTTTTTTTTTAAGGTTTGTTGTTTTTTTTTTTAGGGGCTCAGACAACTCTTCATCACTGTCATTTTGCTACTGTTGTGAATTGGTTGACCCCTGTGGAAGAGTCGTTCGACCCCCAAAGGGGTCTCAACCCGCAGTTTGAGAACTGGTGCTCTAGACATTCCTAATTTTTTAGTGGGCAAAGAGAACTAATTGATATTTTTGAAGATAGGTTTTTAAGGGGCTACGATCTGAAAGGAAAACACCAGTTGACAAATGTAGAATTATTCCAAGAAGAGTACTTGGGTCTCTTTATATGTAATATAACAGAGGGGGCAAGAACATCATCTGGGGACAGTCTGTTTCATATAGATGTATATATGTGTACATATATATGTATATGTACATATATGTGTGTGTGTGTGTGTGTATATATATATATACCTTAAGTCTTCCACATGATGGGGCTTCTGTTCAGTTTGTTTTCTAGAATTCTAGTTCACCACTTTGTGAAGGTCCCAGAGAATGCAAGGTAAGTGTGACGATGTAATTGTGCACGTGTTTCCCAGTCTCTTATGTGTGTGTGATGTTCCTTCTCTTCATAGGCTACAGCTCAGATGGAAGAGCATCTAAAGGAAATCATCACCAGTTACTCTCCCGACAACGTCCTTCCCCTAGCGGATGGAGTGCTCAGTTTTACTCACCATCAGATTATTGAACTGGGTCGAGATTGCTTGGATAAATCCCACCAGGGTCTCATCACCTCCCGATACTTCCTTGAATTGCAGCACAAATTAGATAAATTGCTACAGGAGGTATGAACCATCCACCTTGTAATGTTCTATGATTTGTGTCTTTTCTTCATTTTTTTTCCCCATGAGCACATTTTCATAAAAAGTGTTACCACGAGATGGAGTTCAGACTCCAGGAAAGGAAAGCAAAAAATCCAACCCTGATTGCTGTGTGCTATAAATTGATTCTGGTCATTATTTAGAGTAATAGAAAGTAAATGCAATAACCTTTACAGGAACGTTGAGCCCAGCAATCTATGACTCTAGGGTAAGTGGATTGTGAAGGATTTTGAAGCCCTGAGATACCCCCCGCCGCCACCACCAGCTATAAATTGCCTGAATGTATGTGCGTTACTTGATGATGCTATCTAGTTCTCCTGTCTGGACAAGCTAAATGGGAAATTGCAGGCTTCTCCCAGACCATGTGTCCTACTAATTAACCTGCAAGGTGTAGGGTAGTAAACGGCAACTTATATTTTCATTAGTGTCAGGCCTTCTTCTAACAAAATATCCAATTGCCAAAATGACAGATAAACCCAGCACATGTCTAAGCTTAACATTTGTATGCATGGCTCCTGATAACACAGGACAGGAAGGGAGTGTGTGTCAGGGAACGGCAGTGGGGGATGGTGTGACCTGAAATTGATCAGCCACAGGCTACAGGCAAAACCTATCTTGCTTACTCCATTCGGATATACTGTGTTTTTTAATCTCATAGAGCAGAAATCATATAAATCTAGGAGGTTTTCTAGCTAAGCATGAATATGTGGATAATTACATAGAACTGAAAGAAAATAGTAGCATTCCAGTTTTCTAGAAATCCTTCCGTTCTTGCCCTTCCTGAATTTGCTCTCCTGAGATAGGCAATCCCACTTTGGTTAGCAACCAATATTCTGCTTGCCTTTGTCAACCATACTTCCAACAAGAGATTTCTAGACTCTATCCCTCCTTCTCGGGTTTCAGCTTCCTACAGTCACCAAAGCTGTGCTTCTGAGAGCTGCCCCGGTAGTGAGCACCTTATTTTCCGGTGTTGTCATTGCTAATGTTCAGCCTGGCGTGGAGCAAGCCTCTTGTCAATGAAAGTGAAAGTTACTGGTCCGTTTCCAGGCCAGTGAAGGGGCACTCTTGGCTCCACAGTGGTGGGAAATGGCCTTTCGTGGTGCTGCCCTTACCTGCTGCCCTCATGCCAACCCCCATCGCATAGCTATTCTGTGCCTAATGGGTATGGACCACAGAGGTCCATTGCTGGCTTTTGGAAGCAGATTGTGTAGAGACGTCCTTTCTAGTCTGTGTGAGTCGGGAGGCTCTGCTGCCTGCTCAGCACCGCAGCAGCCGGTAGACAATAAGTGCTGTGCTTGAAGTGCCTGAGTCAGCCCCTGAGTTGATGCCAACTCATAGTGACTCTTTATCGGACAGGGTAGAACTGCCCCTTGGGTTTCTGTGCCTGTAAATCTTTCTGGGAGCAGAAAGTCTTCTCTTTCTCCTGAGGTCTTTTGTGCAGCAGATAAAAATCCTACCAGTGAACCATCACTTCCCTTGCAAAATTGCCATAGTAGTTTCTACATACTTGTTTTCACGATTTCTCCTCAGCTCACGATCATTTCAGGAGCCTTGAGGGCACTGCTGGGGGAGCGTTGGACTAACTTCAAGGTCAGCGACTCCAACCCAGTTCCTCTGAAAACGGAGGAAGCTCTCTCCTCTCATAAAGATGCATAGACTCAGGACCTGATCGAAGGTCACTATGAATTGGAACTCACTCAATAGCGATGGATTTTCCTTTGGGTTCATTCCAGTTTAAGGTCTGGCACCAGCCTTGGGACCACGTTTTTGCATAGTGGGGTGGCAGCATATAAATGCAATTGTGTAGGTTTTTGTGTAGAATGGTATGTGACACAAGTGCTTTGTACAGTCCCAATCCCCATCTCACTATCTTTTTTTTTTGGGGGGGGTATTGTTTTATTAGGGGCTCATACAACTCTTATCACAAGCCATACATGCATCAATTGTGTAAAACACATTTGTACATTCATTGTCCTCATCATTCTCAAAACATTTGCTCTGCACTTAAGCTCCTGGCATCAGCTCCTTATTTTTTCCCCTCCCCTCCCCACACCCCACTCCCTCATGAACCCTTGATAATTTATAAATTATTATTTTGTCATATCTTGCCCTGTCCGACATCTCCCTTCACCCACTTTTCTGTCGTCCGTCCCACAGAGAGCAGGTCACATATAGATCCTTGTAATCGGTTCCCCCTTTCCAACCCACTCTCCCTCTACCCTCCCAGTATCGCCACTCACACCACTGGTCCTGAAGGGATCATCCGCCCTGGATTCCCTGTGTTTCCAGTTCCTATCTGTACCAGTGTACATCCTCTGGTCTAGCCAGACTTGCAAGGTAGAATTCGGATCATGATAGTGGGGGCGGGGAGAAAGCATTTAGGAACTAGAGGAAAGTTGTATTTTTCATCCTTGCTACATCGCACCCTGACTGGCTCGTCTCCTACCCGAGACCCCTCTGCAATGGGATCAACAGTGGCCTAAAAATGGGCTTTGATTCTCAACTCTGCACTCCCCCATCACTCACTATGGTAAGATTTTTTTGTTCTGATGATGCATTATACCAGATCCCTTCGACACCTTGTGATTGCACAGGCTGGTGTGCTTCTTCCATGTGGGCTTTGTTGCTTCTGAGCTATATGGCCGTTTGTTTACCTTCAAGCCTTTAAGACCCCAGGTGCTATACCTTTTGATAGCCGGGCACCATCAGCTTTCTTCGCCACATTTGCTTATGCACCCATTAAGACTATCTCTTTATGGGTGCTGAAAGCTCCTTCTTTCTTCCAGGGAGCCGCTGTTGGTTTTGAACTGTTGACCTTGCAGTAACCCACTACACCACCTCACAAATGCAGCTTCATTTGACAAATTGGATCTGTGTGGAATCCCTGCATTGAGCACGTCTATAGGCACCATTTTTCCAGTAGCGAGTGTTCATTTCATGTCTCTGTGTGACATGTCTTTTGGTAATTCTCACAATATTTCAAACTTTTTCATCATGTTATAGCACATTTAATAAACCACCAAACCAAAACCAAACTCAATGCTTTTAAATAGACAGATTTGTTGCTTCTGAGCTAGATGGCCGCTTGTTTACCTTCAAGCCTTTAAGACCCCAGACGCTATACCTTTTAATAGCCGGGCACCATCAGCTTTCTTCGCCACGTTTGCTTATCCCCCTCTGGCTGTCTTACAGGCACATGCACTCTGCTTTTCATGGGGGCAGGTCCGTGTCACATCCTCTTTATTGTGCTCCACAGCTTGTACAGCTCCTGCCCCCCTCCCACACACCCACCCCTCTTATCTTCTTTTAAGTTAGTCCTTTATTCTTGGTGCCCCAGTGAACGTCGTCTTTGCCCCTTCGAGGGCTCTCCCTCTAACTGTTGGTTCTCCCACTGGCTCACTCATGGTTCACCACTCCTCCCAGTGTCCCCTGGCGCTTTTGTTGACTCTCTTGGTCTTTCATGGCTAGAATATTAGTGGATTCCGATCTGCATATGGCATCTCTCCAATTTCAATTCCATGTATCCACGGACCTACTGAGGACCCGTCCATCTGACAGCCCACCAGCCACAGACCCAGTGCGTCCAAGACGGAGTCCCACTTTTTCTCAACGAATCGTGCTTATCCCATGATCTCTGCTGCCAACATTGGTACCACCATTACCCACTCGCCTGCTGGAATTTGGAGCTGTGCCCCATCCCTACCCACCAACCCCCCCACCCCCACCCCACCCAAATCCTTCAGCCTCTAGACTTTCAATTTATTAGTACACATTTCTCCAACTCTGCCCACAACTTCTGTTCATCAACCACTTCCTAGCCCAGGCTTTTGTCCCATCTGCTCTGTTTCTCTCAACTCAACCCCTCGACTCCACACTCCTGACCAGTTGCCAGGGCTTACATCCAACACTCTTCAGCGGCTCTGTCCTGCCTACATGTAAAAGCCCCAAAGTGCACATGTGGCTCACACAGCTGCACCCTCTCTCTCTCTCTGGACTCAAGTGCAATGCATTGCAGTGATCTGTTAGTGGGTCTCACTTCATCAGCAGACAGTGGGCTCTTTGAGGGCCAGGGATCCCTCCCCAGGGCCTGCTACAGCACCTGGCTTGTATCCGTAACTAACTCAAAGTTAGATGGGAGAGGGAGGAGGAAGGGAGGATGTACACACACTTGCCAAAATATGTAATGTCTTATAATTAGTCATCGAGTGATAGAATTCTACTGTCCCTCGTAAGTCAGCTTCTAGAAACTGCTTCAAGCCCTGGGTAGACTACTGTGCACGAGGATGCCTCGAGAGTTAAGAGTCTGGTGAATGGTGTGCCCTGGATTCGAGAGGCCAGTCAGAAAGGAACTCTGCAATTTGTGTGTGGGGGACACTGCTTCCTTAACTCCAAACTTCCACCCCAGGATACAACCCCAAACGATCTATCCAGCTTTTCTCATGCTTCAGAGGCAGTCAGACAAAAGGACTAGAATCGATATGCAAAGTGATTTATATTCACCTGCCCCCTCGCTGAGTTGGCAGATTTTTTGTTTTGTCTTGTTTTGTTTTTTAATCTTAAGGAACCCAGGATCTTCTGAATTAGCCAGTACAAATGGATGAAGAAAACGTGCTGATTTTCAGAAAAACCAAAGACCTTGGGGTAGAGAAGCCTACAGACGTCCAGCAGGAAGGCCCTTTTTGGGCAGGAGTCAGGCGGTTTTCTCGTGTGTCTCCCTGGACAAATATGCTCCTGTAGTCTTCAGTTAAAGCCATCTCCAGTCGCACTTGCCGCCTCCTTCAGGGGCATGGGAGTGCACAGTGGCAGGGAACTTGACCTTTCTGGACAGAGCCAAATTGTGGGGACTTGCTCTGGTTCCCCAGGCTGCCAGTCGATTCCCCTTCCTCTGCCCACCCTTGGCGACCATCTTTTGTGTGGCGCAGGAAAGTATGGTGCCCCTGTGGTCTGAGCAGCTTGATTTGACTGACGCGCTGTTACAGTCCAAGTCTAGGTCAATTCCAGATGAATGTTTTTCTGTCTCTGCCCTCCTCTTTTCATGTATGGGTGTATAGCCAAAGAAAAGAAAATACCTGGGAAGCTATAACCTACTCTCTCAAATCTGGGTCAGAGTATTTGGGTTTTTTCCTTTTCTGTACGGTTACTAACACTTCAAATTTCAACCATAACCATCCAGAGGATCCGCGGGTGCTTTCCTTAGGAGCCTGCAACCAAGGCTCCAACTTCTCTCTCTCACCTCACGCTAATTGCACAGTTTGGTCTCATCTTAGCAAACGCCCTCCCAGCCCCGGAGCATGAGTAAATAATATATTATTTACCCGACTGTGCTGGATTGGCTCTTGTGGTGGCTGAGAATCCTTAGAAGAAATAGAATGAGCTGGTGATTTTTGTCATCTCTGAGATTGAATTTGTACAATCAAAATACTTTAACGTATATTTTAATATATGCATTTCTTAATTCACTTTGAGGAAACCATGAAAATATGTTCAGACTTTAGAGTGCCCCCACTCCCCCACCCCACCAGTGTTGTCAGGGAAAACTTAATTTCTGGCCCAAAGTGTCAACTGACAATTGAGAGACATCCTTTTGTTTCATTTTTTGTAGTTTCTGCTTAGGTCTGAGGAAAAGCTATAAGAAAAACATAGCTTTTGCTCTATTTTTATAAGTTTTTGCTTAGGTCTGGTTAAAGATCAACTATAACGAAGACATAAACAGTCTGTCTTGGCATTCATTGCATCTTGCAAAATCAATTTTTGGTGCCAGATGAAACTTGGAAAGAAAGTTTAAAGGAATTTAAATATTTGATTTAAAAATATTACATGTACATATACAAATACAACATACACGGGGCTTCAAACGTTTGTGGAAGCAAATGTGGCAAAGAAAGCTGATGGTGTCTGGCTATCAAAAGATATAGCATCTGGGGTCTTAAAGGCTTGATGTTAAACGAGTGGCCATCTAGCAGGGAAGCCACAAGCTGACATGGAAGAAGCACACCAGCCTGTGCGATCAGGAGGTGTCGGCGGGATCAGGGGCAGGCATCAAAGACCAAAGACAAACAAACAAATAAAAGCATTTTGAACATGAGGGGGGTCAGAGCAGAGACCCCAAACCCATCTGTAAACAGTGGGACATCCCTTCATGGAAGGGTCCAAAAAGAAGGGATGAGTCAGTCGGTGCAGTACAGCACCGATGAAACACACACGATTGCTCTGGTTCCTTGAGGCTTCCCTCACCCCCCACTATCATGACCCCAGCCCTGCCTTTCACTGCAGGCTAGACTGGAGCATGTACACAGGTACAGATATGAGCTCAGGACACAGGGCCTCCAGGTCAGATAAACCCCTCAGGAACAGAAATGGGAGTAGTGATATCCGGAGGGTAGGGGGACGGTCGAGAGAGGAGGGGAGGAAGGGAGAACCAACCAACAGCAATGATGGACACATAATCACACCCACATCCCCAGAGGGACAAACAACAGAAACCCGTGGGGGAAGGGAGACAGCGGTCGGTGTAAGATAGGAAAATAAAAAGAATTTATAGTTTATCAAGCAGTCATGAGGGTGGGAGGGAAAAAAGAGGAGCTTATACCAAGGGCTGAAAAAGAAAGTAAATGTTTAGAAAATAATGATGGCAATGTATGTGCAAATATGCTTGATACAACTGATATATAGATTGTTAACTGCCTAGGTATTTTGAAGGTGTGAAGTTGAACTCTTGTTATATGTCCAATATAAATGTTCTGTAGCTAAGTCTTATAAAATAGACACCGCATGCTTCTTACATGTTACAAAATGACTCATTTTAGGACGTAATCATATTGTATACATACTCCCAGGGAGCTTAAAAAAATTCATGGGAAGATGTAATTGAAAGATAATAGAAAGTTTCCATGAAATTTTTGAAGGGCACTACCGTATTTCCAGTAGAAGCTCTGGTAGCATAGTGGTTACGACTTGGACTGCTAACCACAAAGTCAGCAGTTTGAAACCACCAGTCGCTCTGTGGGAGAAAGAGGAGACTTTCTACTCAGAAAGTCTCAGAAACCAATAGGAGCAGTTCTCCACTGCCCTGTGTGGTCACTGTTAGTCAGAATCGACTCATTGACAGCAAGTTTTGGGAAAGTTTGAGTGTATTCCATGACCATGTTAAATGCCCAGGGTAGCACAAAAATTAGCCTGCTGGCCATTGTATACACGGAAGGTGTGACATCTGGAAGGCCAGGGGTCCTGGTCAGCTGCCCACCCAACTAGCACCGGGTCCTGAAGGTCTCCTCCGCTCCTCAAGACCCGCCATGTTTCACATTAAGCGCTCCAACGCTGGGTGTTGGACGCAGACCCTCCATTAAAAAGCTTGCCGTTCACGTTTAGCTGATAGTCGTTTGATACAGTCATTTGATAATGTCCATTTATGTAGCGCTCACGCTCATTTTATCCCGCACAGATATTTTTAAAGTATTTTCGGAATCACTTCATTTTGGAATATCTGTAATTGTCTAATTAGCACACTTTGCAGGTTTCTCTGCCATTTAATGCGACAGCTCGGCTACCATCCTTCTTCCCACAGGCTCACAATCGTTCAGAAAGTGGAGAGCTGGCATTTATTAAGCAGCTGGTCCGAAAGATCCTCATCGTCATTGCCCGCCCCGCTCGGTTGCTAGAGTGCCTGGTAAGTGCGTGGTGACGCCGTGGCTTACGGTGGACCGTGGGAAGCCGGGACGGGCGCTGTCCTCAGCTTTCACTTGACTTCAAAGCTGAGAGCCGAATGGGAAGGGTGACAAGGAATGGCGGGCCACCTGGGCCATTTTCGGAGCACATACATCCCTAATGGGTGCCCTTTTCTCACTCTGAGGCATGGAGGGCTTGCACTGTGTTAAGGGATTGTCGTCGCACACCCCAGGCGAGTTTGAACGATGGTGGATCTCTCAGAGTGACTGTGTCACAGCTCCTTGACAGGGCCTCCTGTGCTTCCGCTTTCCCAGAGATGCCAAGCTGCAAAGGGTGGGGAGTTGGAGAGGCGGTGCACAGTGGCCTGTGGCAATCATGGTTGTCATAAACACATGCCTGGTGCCTGTTAGCCAAACGTCTGAAAAAATGCTACGGGGCTTCCTACAGACCCGAAGGAACGAGATTGGTGGCGATCAGGTCGTTTGATCAGTTACCGGGTGAGACTTGTGAGAATTGGACCACCACTCAGCCGAGCTCTCCAGGCTCGTGTGAAGCCTCCGCCCTTCTGTTCTCTGTTTGATTTTGCCTTCTCTGGCAGGCCTGTGCCTTACGCCGGCTCTTGCTGGCATAGGTTTCATTGTCTATTCTCTGGCCAATATCATTCTCCTGTTTTAAAATGTTGGTTTTATCATAAAAGGTTGATTGAGCTCACAGTCAAAACTGATAGGGGCAGGGGGATTGGAAGCTTTGGGCGGAAGAATTATTTGAAAGTACTTAATATAGCATCACAACGTTTCCGTGCCACTGGCCAAGAAAGCCATTTTGGTAGCGTGTACAGCTTGTACATGGTATCCTACACAGACATACACAGGTACCCATTATAAACATATGGTTGACCCTTGGTGGCAAAGCAGTCACAAGTTGGGCCGCTAAGGCAAGATCAACAGTTTGAAACCACCTGCCCCTCTGAGAGGGAAAGGTGAGGCTTTCTACTCCTATAAGGAGTTCCGAGTCTCGGAAACCCCTAGGGGCAGCTCTGCCCAGTCCTGTCGGGTCACTGTGAGTCAGAGTGACTCCGTGGCACTGGGGTGGGTGGCTGCGTTCCTTTGGCCTTTCTGCCTTTTCCTTTCCAATTCATGAACTTTTGTACGAGTGAAGTCACGTGTGTTGGCAGCCTCATAAATGAATCCTGGTGCGTTGTGAGATCTGGCAGAGGGAAATCTTGAGGATGAGAGGTGGGTGAGGGGCAGGGCAGCGACTCCAAGGACGCAGAATCAGACGCTGAGCCTGACACTGGGTGTCTGGAGAGAGAAGGGGTGGGGGTGGGGAGAGGGGAATGAATTGCCTGGCCAGTCACGCAGGTAGAAGGAGACTTCCCTTTTACTGCTTCTCTTACTGCACCTGGTGGAGTTTACATGAAGTGCTTGCATTTCCGATAGTTGTCGGATTTGAGTGAAAATGCCAGTTAGCCTTAAAACCCATTTCTGTGACCAGCGACGTTAAAACCCTACCTATGAACAGGTGGGCTAAGCGCAGATCTGGCCTTAGAAGAGGAAGCCTTTCAAAACAAGTGAGCCTAGAATAGGTTTGGCAGTGTTGCTGCTTTCAGTACGTTTTGCCATCTAGCGGCAGCTGGAGTTTCAGAGTTCCAGTCTTTCCCCAGTCATCTTTTACCTGCAGCCCCCAGGCTTGCCCTGTCTTTCCGTGTACATTTATATAAAGGGCACTGGGAATATGCCAAAGCGAACCCTGGTGGTACTGTCGAGTAAGCGTTGGACTGCTAACGCTAACGTGGGTGGTTCAAATCCACAAGCCGCTCTGTGGTAGCAAAAAGAGGCTGGTTGGTACGGATTAACAGCCTGGTGAAAGCCTCTACAGGGCGGCTGGGAATCAGCTTTGACTCAGTAGCAGTGGCTTGGTTTGGATGTTTGGCTTGGCTCAACTCCACTAGTAGCAGGTTTTGTTTGGCGCTGTGGTTGTTTTTTGCTAACAGTTTTATCATATAATTCCATACTTCAATCCTGTGAAGAAGAGCTGTACAATCACCACCACACTCAGTTTTCAGACGAAGTGCTAAGATTCTAACGTTTCCTCTCTGGGCTGTTACTCAGAATGGGGAGGAGGGTACTCTGTGGGCTGGGGCAGAGCTGGGAGCTGTAACTGGGAGCCGCAGGGCGGTTTACCTCTGAGAGCATCGTTGTTTACAGCCCGCAGACACATGGCCTTCCATCTACAGTCTTGCGATCCTGATTTTATATATATATATATATACATATATACATATACATATACTGGGCGGGGGTGGGAGGCGGGGAGAGACAACAGACTAGCAAAGAAAATAAAATATACAGGCAAGATGCCCACTTCAAGGGTTACAGAAAGGCAAAGAATCATCAGAAACATTTACTCCCTTGTTTTTTTCATGGAGCTTCACATTACATGACTGCTCGTAATTTAATTCTACAGTTCAGGGACCAAGAGTGGTGATGTTGAGATGTTTCTCTCTCGTACTTTTGGATGCTTCTGTACCAAGGGAGGTCCCTGCAAGACCTTGGAAAAATGTATTCTGGCAAGACTCCTTTTGTGGTCAGTTGGGCCGGGAGAGAGGGAACCTTCTGGGTGAGATTCCAGATTTCCAAAGGTGCTTAAAAGGCGCATGAAAAACACCAACCTGTTCTTTTCAGTGAGGTGGGGATCTGTAGGGAGACTCCCATACCTTCCAGTTAACTTAAAGGGAAATTGTTGCAAAGGCCATTGTCTCTAAGTTACCAAGCATTGTCCCCCCCCCCCCCCCCCCCGCCCTCCCAACTTAGAATATGTAGTATGGACTGTGTACTCTTCAAACCCGTTGGCCTCCTCTCGCGCATAAATAACCCACGACCATGTGTATGGAACAATTTTACTGTGAATGAGATTTATATAATAAAATCTCAGGGAATTTTGGCTCAAAGACGTACCCATCTGTGTTTGTCTTCTGCTAGGAATTCGATCCTGAAGAATTTTACTACCTATTGGAAGCTGCAGAAGGCCATGCCAAAGAAGGGCAGGGCATTAAAACAGACATTCCCCGATACATCATCAGCCAGCTGGGGCTCAATAAGGATCCCTTGGAAGGTGAGTGCTGACCTTGGTGGGGCTGACCTTGCACTTGGCATATGCATCATGGCCGCATGTGAAAACATAGCAGCCAGCCTTTATTTCCCCCCCCCCCCCTTTAGGCTCTCAGGTTTCCCTCAAGCCTCAGTCTTCTGGAAAGTACACAGGCGGGGCAGATTATACTTTGAAAGGATTCTCCATGAGGAGCAATGGACTGCACCCCTGATGTTTTCACCTAGGGCAGGGGTGGGGAGCCTTTTCTCTGCCAAAGTCCGTTTGGGTTGCTATAACTTCATTCACAGCCCATACTGGTCCAACCTTGAATTAACTCACCCCAAATAGGATGGCTGGAACTGCTTGCCTTCTGTGAGGTGTGTGATGTTGGCTGGTATTGACGATTTCTCTGGTGTTACTCATTCCCTTCCCCCACGCTAGAGCCTGGGGACAGACCTGGGCATCCCAGCCGCCTGGCAACCTGGGGCCTCCAGAGTCCCCAAAGGGTTTCACTTTCAGTCTCTCACAGTATTTGTTTTCTCTTACAATGTTCAGTTGGTCTCTTCTGGAGAGCAGTGAAAATACTGCTCAAAGATAGTTACTATGATTAATTTTAAAATGACATTTAAACACACAGTACTTGGGGAGCCGTGTCTCAATTATTGTTGACTTGAAACCAGGGTACCGTATTGGCAGGGATCTGTTTGTTGACTTGTTCCAAGTGTGAAAAGGAATAATACACGAGAGAGCCAGGGCAAGAAGAAATGTTGCTCGGAGCGTATCAAAGGTTTAAGTGGGCACAAATGAAAACCTGACCGAATTCTTGTAAACCCCAAGAACCGAAATCACCCTGTTGGTGATTTCTTTTACGACAATCAACACGGTCACCTGCCCATGTCCTCTTGTTGGTGTTCATTCTTATCTGGGATTGTCACTGAAAACACGGAGGCTGTCGACTGCCCAGAGAGATGTAGAAACAGCCTGAAGCGGTCCTCCACTCAGAACGGTCTTCCTGGCTCATTAAGCAGACTCTGCAAACAGTGTTCATCGGGCTCCGTTGTCTGTCCTGGTGGCAAAGCGCTGGCACAGGGGCTTGTCTCCATCCAAAAGCCAGGGCGCCGCTGCTCCAGGCCTGGCTGTCCCCTCCGCCCTGCTTTGTTTACTCTTGTGGCCATTCCAGAGAAAGGATGCATGCATTCCTGGGAGATAATGTCAGATAAATTGATGCTGTACTGAAAGCAATACCACAACAGATTCATCACTTACCAGAGATTGGTGGCTGCCTTCCTGAAAAGTTCCCTGGGGAGAGATTTTTTTCCCCCCATGGCTTTTAAATTACCATCTTTACCTTTTTGAATCATGAGTCTTCAGAAATGGTTTAAATCAATGAAATAAAAAGGGCAGATGTTTAATGGTATTTAGATGAGTTTTAAACATCTCTTCAGGCATTGCAAAATGATGCCTTAGCTTCCTGCTTCAAAAGCTGACTCTTGGTTCCATCCCATTACCACCCACTGCTTGCAAATAATATGTGTTTCCCAGATAATAGTTATTTAGCCGGCATTCTATTTAAAACATAGCCATCTTTTCATTTGTTTTTTATGAAAATAATTGCAGTGGGGGAGGCTGTCAAAGTCCATTACAGTGATTCTTCACGCTGGTGTAGTTAAAGTTGTGTCAGCACCTGGATTACATACAGCGAGTGAACAGTCCCCGCCTTTCTTACCTGGCAGTAATATCCCTCCAGGCCGGAGGGAGTTAGTTAAATCATGTGAGGCCCATCTGTGTTCCTTCACAGAGACTGAAAAATACATATGAAACAAATAGTGATCTTTGACAAATCTGGATGTCAGTCATTGTACTCAGTTTCTAGTCGCGCCTTGACAAAATTGTCACAGCCCCTCTGGCTTCTACC